ATGTAATTTATGATTATATCGATTATTTTGTAGTTATATACTTGGATGATATTGTAGTCTATAGTGAGATGTTTAGAATCACTTAGCTCATCTAAGGAAGGTGTTTTCATGGCTTAGAGAGCACCAGTTTTGTGTCAAAAATGAGAAGTGTGAGTTTTGTTGTTAAGAGGTGATGTGCTTGGGACATTGGGTGAGCAGTGACAAAATTTAGATGGATGAAATAAAAGTGAAGGCAATTGTGGATTGGCCTATACGAACCAAGGTGCCAGAGTTGTGATATTTTCTTGTTTTGATCAACTATTACCACAAGTTTATGTGGGTTATTTAAAGAAGGCGAACACCCTCATTGACTTGTTCAAGGACTAAAAATGGGATTAGATGGAGGCTTGTCTGGCTGATAGTGAAAAATTTAAGCAAGTAATTTTTTTTGCACAGTGATTCGAATTGGCCTTTGAAGTACACACTAATGCTTCTAACCGAGCCATTGGTGGCGTTCTTGTTCAAGATGGACACTCTATGCCTTTGAAACTCAAAAATTGAAAGATGTAGAGCAACCCTACTCACCACATGAGAAGTTGATTGTGGTGGTACATTATTTGGAAATTTGGAGGCATTATTTGCTAGGAACCAAGTTCATAGCGGTAACAAATAATGTGATGAGCATATACTTCAAGTCCCAAAAGAAGTTGACCACTTGACCTGTTGTCCGAATTTGATATTGACAATTTACGTATAAGTATACACAATCAACAAGTAATAAAGTGATAAGTAGAGTATCGTTCCCACAGAGAGTTATTATTAATAATTTTCAAGTACTAACTTTGCATCAATTCGATTTTATTTAAACAATTAAAATTAAACTATGAAATTGCTAATTTAAAACTAAATTTAAAATTACTAACCAAGGACTGATTTCACCAAATAAAAGAATTTAAGATTACAACTTCCCCTAATACTTTGTATAAATCTCTTCACTCTCCTTCCAGTCAATTAATCAAAATAAGTTGTTAATTGAAAATTTAAAATTATTAATGAAACCTCTTCCAAATGTTAGATAAAAATATCTCTCCCAATTAAATCACTATATTCCTATGCAATGTAAATTGGAACAGATACATTAAGCTCAAACTCTCATAAAAATTACACACGGCATATAGGTGTATTCTTATCCTATACACAAACTCACGTTATTCAATTCTAAAAATAAATAACTAAACGCATGTTATCATATTCAGATCCAAACCCTAGAATTCATCTTTCAATTTCATCTAGGGAACCAAATTAATTGTTGGCCAAACAATCATATAGTAAGCACAAAATATGATAAACAACTTATGGAAGACCAATAATAGCTGAAAACAAGAGCAAATTAATTTAACTAAACATTAGGTTCCATTGCAATCTTAATAAAAATTTAGTTTATAATATAATTGAAAAACATCATCTTCAAATTAATCAACATCTTTGAAAATTAAAACTAAAAGTAAGAGAAAATGATGAAAATTGTGTTGCAATCTTCAATCTCTTTCTAGCCTTCAATTCCAGTCTTCTTCGTGTTGCTTCCTTTGATCCTTGTCTTCAATTCACTATTAATCTTTGGTTTTCTTTGTGTTAGCTGCCCTTTATAGCAGTATATAAATATATCTCTAACTAAACCCTAACATGTGTGTAGCATTAGAGTTCAATTTTTACTCAAAAACAAGTCAGAATTCGTCTTCTACGCTGAAGCCCGCGCTGCAGCCCCACAAATCAGCGCAGGTGCGCTGAGTTTCTGTCCTTCTAAAGGTGCGGCTCTACATCTAGAGCTACAACGTTGATTCCCTTTTATGCACACAACTGCTTTTGTTGCTCAGTTCGTAATTAATCCAAAACTTAGACTGTCAAATGACCTTGTTTCCTTCCAAATTATGATCCCTACAAAACAACATTAAAACACAAAACGAATAAAAATAAACATAAAATACTTGGAAACTCCCAATTTTATTAAGCCAAGAATACTCAATTCGTAGGTATAAAATCCACTCATCATGATCCCATAACAAGTCCAGGTGTTGATGAGCAATCCTAGACAGATGCTACATAAACAACATGTCAGCGAAGGTTTGATTCACAGGATGATGGCTTATTCTATGCCAAGGGAGGTTGATTCTATGTTTGTAGCAATGGGGACAAATGTGAGAATTGATGTAGGAAACACGTGACTCTCAATTGGATGGACAATTAGGGATCGAGAGGATGTTTGTGTTGCTATCTCATTGTTATTATTGATTTAAGATAGAAGATGATGTCGAGGCGTATGGAAAGATTTGTCTCGTTTGCCTAAACAAGTTGGAGAAAAAAGAGAGGATTTTTGTGCCCATTTCTGACAAAGCATCGTAGTCATCCTCGATGGACTTCATTGCAAGTTTGCCGAAAGTGAATGACATGAGTTCGATTCCAATTGTGGAGGATTGTTTTTGAAAGTATGCATTATTCATTCCTACACCACATACTTGCCGTGTTAAAGTTGCTTGCAAAGTTATTTAACAAGTACGTGCAAGTAATTTGGGTTGCCGGAAGATATAGTGAGTGACTAAGATGGCCCATTAACTAGATGTTTATGGACAGTGTCGTTCAATCTCATGGGTTAGGAGTTGTAGTGTTCTATAACAGATCATTCTCATATGGATGGTTAGACTGAGAGGATGAATGTTTTGCTACAGGAGTACCCATGGCACTATGTCACTGCATATTGGAAAAGTAGGGTGGAGTTATGGGATGGAGTTATGCAACCTAATTTTGCTACAACTTGAACATGTCTTCTGCAATAGGCATGACTCATGAGTCTCTTCGAGTAGGCTATGGACAACAACCACTTAGTCCTCATGAAGTGGCTACACAGAATACTGGAAGCAAATGTCCTGCTACATACCACTTTACTTGCACAAAGTTAGAATATCTTTAGGAGGCAAAAGACAGTTTGGTTGAGGTTGTTTGATGGATGAAGAAGTATGTGGACAAAGATCGGAGGCTCCTGGAATTTCACGTGGGAGACTAGGTTTTACTGAAACTGATTCCACACATTTAGAAGAAGATAAACAGCAAGACAGTGCACATGTGTTGGTTCCTAAGTATGAAAGACTATTTGAAGTGATGAAGAGGGTTGGGAACATTGCCTACCACTTGAAGCTTCTCAATTGTTTTAAGATTCACCCGGTATGTGAATTTTTTGAAGCCTTACTTGATGTTAGCCAGAGACAAGCCAGGAGGGCTTCACCCATTGTGAAACAACTATTCAACAGGGGCATCGAGAAGATTCTTGCTCACAGGACTGCTGGTTAAAGTAAGAAGAATTGTCGACTGATTTTCTAGTTCAATGAAAAGGTGGCTTCGAAGCAGAGGCTAGTTGGGTACTCTTTGGCAGTTTGAGAACAAGATCAAGGAGTACTAGGACAACCTCTCTACAAGGACGTCAAGTTCTTCTGGTGGGGTTGGTTCATTATCCCCTTGACAGTTTGGCACGACCATGGTGGCGAGCGACTTGTTCAATGGTGTCCCGTGCCAAGGTAAAAAAGTAGGGTTGTGCTTGGTGGACGCCCAACGTATATCACGGCTCTTAAAATGATTAGAAGCATGTTGGTGACCCGTGTTAGTCTTTAGAAGCACATCGGTCAGTGGTCGGTATGTTGATTTGGTGGGCAGTGCACAATTGCATGATCGACAGGCCAACTGTTAGTCCGAATGCTTATAAATTCCTAGGAAGGTGCTTTAGTGGCAGTTTCGTAAATACCATTATGATTTCTCAGAATCCTTGACATCTATTGCTGGCACTTGGGTTTTTCTTCCAAAAACATAAGGCAGAGGGTCTCTCTAGGGCACTTAGGCGTGGCAACCCTGTTGCACTTGAGCCTTGGTAAGCTAAAGCAAGGCACGACACCAAGATCCTTGTCATGGGTTGAGGCAAGGCATGCAAGTTGGAAACTCAAGAAAATTTGGGACCATTGCATTTGTGGGATTTGTCACTATGGAAGCCCCACACATGACTGAAAGAGGCAACACATTGTGGGCACAATTGGTAACGTTGAAGGCAGACTATGAATAGTCATGGGCTAGGCAAAGGGTGTTCCTTGTGTGCATAAAAGATCAAACTATGGGCTGGGCATGGCTTGGCACATGTGCACAGACAAAGGCAACAATGTAGACAGACAATGGTGGGTTTGGTCTAATCAGGCAAGCAGTTGGTATCGGTTATGGGTGGTTATCAATATATAACTTCTCTAACATACTTGGATTGCATTTGATTGGACAGAAGACCTGGTGTTTTGGAGGGAAACACCAAGACCTTTTGGCTTGTTTGTTCTGCGTTTGCCAACACATCTAGTAGAGCCTTCTTGGCCTAGATTGGTTTGTGACAGCACTCCTTGTGCAATTGGGGTGTGATTGCCATAGCTTGACTATAAATACTTGCTAGGGTCTACAGATTGCAATAGGAGAAAAAAGGTGTACGTTTTGTAATCAAAGTCTTAGTCGTACTCCTTGTACTTGGTTCTGAGACAGCGACTACAGAATGGGAGGAATAGAGATACTAGGAAGGCAAAATCGCCTTATTTACACTGGTTGAAAAATTATGCCAGGTGTTGTGGATTCATCTCCGATGAGATGGTTTCTCCGTGGCTTCAGCAAAAATTGGAGGTAGCGCCATAAGAGTGAAGCTACCTGCAAAGTTTTTAATTAAGTTGCCCCACCTAATACGATTTCCTGGTCATGCTAAAGGGTCTATAAAGGGCCATTACTTAGTTTGGTCCCCATTGATTGGGGTAATTGTAAATTTGATCAGGTACAAACCAAACTTTTGGCATTATTTACACAAAATGGCTGCCCTCAGTTTCAAATCCGCCATATGCCGGTTATTCGTCTGAGATTATTCTACTCACCAGGCAATGACATTATTTTCCACAACACTTGATCATGTTAGACCTTAAAAGTAGAGATTAGTCACAACTCACAAGGTGGCATACTTAATGAAGTAATTTTTGGAATATGCCTGTGGATGTTTGTTTACTCAAAGGTTATGAAGACAGAATGTGTTTGAGTAAGTTTTCAAATATTTTGCAATACTTGGTCAACAAGAAGTTTGACTTGGCAATCTCTCCATTGAGTCTCCAGGGCAATGAGTTATTGATCTGACAACCTTAAAGCAAACCTGAAAGGTAGATTAGCACTGTTGCAGGCTAATATGTTCTGAATTATGATGCTTCATATATAACTTAGGACGAAAGATGGAAGCTTGCATAGACCGAAAAGATAAATAAGATGGGTGTCATGTGCCACTTAATTTTACTGCAAAGTGACCTCAATTTGGCATTCAGTCTTTTGTTGAGCTGAACATGTGTGATTAATGAGAGAGTATGCAGCTACCATTTCAGTTGTCCAACGGGCCATAATATAGTACTGACAGTTGAAACTTCATTCTTGGTGTAGTTATATGCTTCACATTGAAATGTATGTTTTTACATAGATGCTTTTTATCAGCCCTGAAAACAGAATTTGCATTCTTTTGTACATTACACTTTAGAGACTCTGACATGTTGGAGTTCCTCATTTTTTCTGCTTTCTTACACCATCCTGAGAATGATGCAGATTAATAATGCAGGATCGAATGCATATACCTATAAGCCACTGGCAGAAGCTTCAGATGAAGATCTTATGTGAGCTTCCATTCTCCTTTCTTTGTATTCTCGTCTTTGATTGTGTTCCTTTCCACCCTGATTTGTAGCATATTCTGTGGATTGATTTCCTTTGCAGTGAAGTTGTCACAACAAACACCCTTGGTTTGATGATATGTTGTCGAGAGGTATCCAGCTCTTTAGATCTCTAAGTGATGTTTACCAGGCCTTTGCTCATGCATGGTTGTTCTATAATCGATAGGCAATAAAAATGATGCTTGACCAGCCTCGCGGGGGTCATATATTCAACATTGATGGAGCTGGTTCAGATGGAAGACCAACTCCTAGGTATGTTTTATCTTTCTTGAGGTAAACTCTCATTACTAAAATTACTACGAGCCTGTTTGGTATAATTTTTTTTTTTGGTTTTACGATTAAAAAAACAAGAATTGTAAATAAAATTCATGCAGTTGCAATGGGCTTTCCAGACTGCAAAAACAATCTAGTCAGACCATGCTTTACATGCTGCACACATTACACAGTCAGACTATACCGGCGGAGGGGCTTTACCGACTGCACACACAATATAGTCAGATCCTGCTTTACAAACTGCACACACAATGTAGTGGGACTATACTCGGTGAATTGTACACATCAATAGGGAACTGCAGAAAATTCAACAAGTTCCATTTTTTGGGTTTTCTTGTGATGCAAACTCTCATGACGTAATGGCGTTGATTATTTCAGGTGCCGTTTGGTAACCTAGAGTTTTTCTTTTTTTTGTTTTCATTTTTTGGCAAAAAACAAAAAAGATGTTTGGTAAATATTTTTGTTTTTTTTAACTGCTCTGTTTTAAAAACAAAGCTAAAATATGAAAACATCCAAAATGGTGTTTTTGAAAACATCAAAAAACCAAAACACGGGGGCAGCAGCCAACTCATTGTAATGAGGTCTGAACTTCGAACCCCCTCCACAGCAAAATAACGGGTTATTTTCCTTACCCTATAAATTGCCAAGAGCACTCTTTTCTCATTCAGCTGAAGACCTTTAACCTGTACGGAAAAAAATTCGAAGCTCCTCCAACTCCTCCAAGCAGATGAGAGGCTCACAGCAGACGAAACTCCGGCACATGATCTTCATCTTTGGCGATCTTCATCACAGCAGACGATCTGCGGTGGTGGGGGTGGGTTTCGGTTGGAGGGGGGTTGGGTGGTGGTTTTGGGTGGTCAGTGGGGCTGGGTGGTGGGGTTTGGGTGGTGAATTTTTGGTATAATACCAAATAGGTTTTTTATTTTTTTTTTCGCAATTTTTTAAATATAAATGACTGCCAAACATATTTTATATTTTTAATTTTAATCACAGAAAAAACAAAAGATAACATTGTAAGAGTTGAAATAGTAAAAATAAAAACGTAAAAACGTTACCAAACACACCCCAAGTGTTTCTTTAAATTGTAATAGTTGAAATAGTAAAAGTAATATTAGGGATAGGAGAAAAAGAGAGAAGGAGAGAAAGAGAAAATAAGGAGAGCCACAGAAAGAGAGAATAATTATCTGTGTAGGCGATGTTGCCCTACACACTTATTTATAATATTACCCTATATTAATTAACTTATGTTTAATATAGAAAATAAGAACTCTAGCACTCCCCCTTCAGACTGGAGCATAAAGATAAAAAATGCCTGGTTTGGAACATAAAATACTAAAGGCAGACCGAGTTAATGGTTTGGTAAAAATGTCACTCAGTTGATCACCACACTTGATATGGAGTGATGATTTTTTTTCGCATTGAAATATCTTGAATGAAATGGCAATTCACCTCGCATGTGTTTTGTACGCTCATGTAATACTGGATTACTTGCAATGAAAATAGTTGATTGGTTGTCACAATGCATCTTTATGGAGGAATACTCATCAAGTCCCATATCACAAATCAAAGAATGGATCCATGACATCTTACAATCATAGCACTATGTTCAGCTTCCGCACCAGAACATGCAACAACGTTCTGCTTCTTATTATGCCAAGTAACAAAATTATCACCAATAAATGTACAATAGCCAGAAGTAGATCGTCTATCACTATGACTACCAGTCCAGTCAACGTCAGAAAATCGAAATACAGTTGTGGTTGATGATGGACGATATAATAATCTTTTTCTTAGAGCCCTTTTCAAATATTGAAGTATATGACAGAGAACCTCCTAATGAGGCTTCTGAAGAGCATGCATGAACTGACTAACTACACCAATTGTAAATGTAATATCAGGGTACGTAACTGTGAGATAAATCAATTTATCAACCAACCTATATCATTAAAAATTTTACCACTCTAAAAATTTAACTTAACTATAGTGTTCATAGGTGAATCTATCGGGCGCGCATTAAGAATACCAATTTCAAATTATAAGTCTAGTGCATATTGTCGTTGGCACAAACTAATACCTTCCTTTGATTGTGCAACTTCAATCCCTAAGAAGTACCAAAGAAGACCTAAATCTTTGGTATGAAAAGGATTTGTGAAATAGATCTTGAAGTGGGCAATACCATTTGAGTCATCACTATTAATGATGATGTTATCTACAAATAACAATAATAATGCTTATAGAAGATCGACAAATGAAAACTGAATGATTAGTAGAGCGTTGAAGGCCAAACTGAAGTACTGTAGTATTGAACTTATCAAACCAGACATGTGATGCTTGCTTCAAGCCATACAGTATTTTCTTCATATGGTACACTAGTTGTTCCTGGCAAAAAATAACATAACTTGTAGGTTGAATCATATATACCTCTTCTTATAGATTCCCGTGTAAAAAAACGTTCCTTATGTCCGGTTGATACAAGGTTTAGGCCAAATTGACTACAATAGAAATAAGAACTGAAGCAGAATTAAGATGAGCACCAGGAGAGAAAGTCTTATAATAATTCACCTCATTTGTTTGAATGTAGCCTTTAGCAACCAACCATGTCTTCAAACACTCAACAGAACCATCAGGATGATATTTCATAGTGTAGACTCAACAACAACTGACCGGTTGTTTACGAGAAGAAAGAAAAATGAGGTCCCAAGTATGATATCATGAAGTGCCTTAATTTCCTCATTCATAGTCAGTTTCTATCTAGGAGACCTTTATGTCTGCTTCAAAGAGTTAGGAACAAATACAAAAATAAGGATGGTACAAAACAATGAAATGATTAGAACAGCCGATGCAAATAGACAAAATTAGAATTGGGATGTTGAATACAAGTACGAGTACTTTTTCACAATGTATAAGCAAATCAGAAGAGAATGATACATTAGACGGCTCAAAAGGAAGGACCTCAGCATTGGCCGAGGAATTGGAGCATATGAAACAACAATGTCTATCAGTGGAATGAGGATAAACCTGCAATGGTGAAGGATGACTCAATCGAAAATGCCACTGGAGGGGAGACACAGTAGCACTCAAGATAGGAACTACAACTTTGGAATTCAAATAATAAAGTGTATTTTGCTCATACCCCAAACCAATCACCTTCTTCATTCGAAGGTTTTGAAAGCACATGAGGATGGAGAAAAAAGTCATTAAACACTATAAAGACTTTGTTAACTGATTCACAGATAATAGGTTAAAAGAAAATTCATGGACAAATAAGCCAGATGTTAAAGACATGGATTTAGTAGGATGGAGATCACCCATCCCATGTACTAGTCTAAAAGAACCATCTGCTAACACGATGCAATAGTTAGAAGAGCAAAAATTAGAAAATAAGGAGAAAATACCAGACATGTGGGGATGCAAAAAGGGAAGGGAAAGAAAGGGGATAACCAATTCTCGCAAGGATTAGATTAAGAAGCACAAATCTTAGTAGGGAATTCTCAAATTAATATTTAGCTCTGATTAGAATGATATGGAATGTATTCTTATTTATAAATCAAGCGTCTTACTGGAAAAAAAACTACTCTCCTACTAAAACTATATAAACCTTCCCTACTAATCTCAATCTGATAAATACTAACTAACTAAAATTTCAAATAATAAATAACTAAAATAACAAAGAAAAATCCTAACAATATACTAGGTACATCTCCCTTTGGACCAAAAGTTCTTAGCCATTTGTCCAAGCTTTTAAATTCAATCACGTTGGTCCAACCATTCAATGGCTACGCCATCAATTCTCCTCCACTAAAAGAAACTTGACTTTGGCGAGTGACAAGGAGGGCAAAGAATACCATCTAATGAGATACTCCGAGGAATCAATGATGAAGTCTTCTTCCAACAATGTTTAGGTTTTTCTGTGGTAACCTTACAACCAACAAATTGAGGACGAATAAAACTCAATATATGGTCGTCAATCAGATCATCAAAATCAACTTCATTAACATCAAGAGGCTCCACAACTTGAATTTCAGATTCTAACTCATTGGATTCTTTAGTCTCCTTAGGGATTTCCTTTTCAATTATCGCAATGATCTTTGTAAGGCATTGGAAAGAAAGTGACCAAATCCTTGACAATTAAAACATCTCGTCTTGGTATTAGGGTTAGTAACCCGTTGAAAATTAGAAGTAACACCTGGGTGAGTTAGTTTGTTAGGGACAAAAACACTCTTGTGGTTTACCAAATGACTTATCGAGATTCGCATCCACAAAAATCCTTTCACTTTGAATTGTCGATACTCTAGAAGACTTCAGAGAAGCCCTCTTTTTTGAATCTTATTCCATAGGTAACCTAAACTACATCCACCATAGCATAAAGACGACTAATAGCTAAACCTGAAAAAAATATCCAAATTGAGCCCTTGCGTATACATGGTGATAATTACATCCTTAATCCATTGACTCTTGGATCAGGTTGCTAAGCTGTAGAACTTCCTTGTGTAATCCTCAACAAACATGCTTCCTTGAACCGTCTAAACTGTAGATGAGCTAGTTGCTTGTAATTAGAAGGCATGAAATAACGAGTTAAAGTTGTCTTCTTGTCATCCCATGATGTGTCATAGTGGGCACTTCACCCACCAAAGTCGTGTTGTACCTTTCAATTTAGATTCAACAAAAGAGACCTTTCTCTCTTCAATTAAACAATACCACTTAAAGTAGTTGCCGAGGCTATGTAACTAGGGAGAATATCTCTGCATTATTATTCCCATGGAAATCACTAACATCTACCTCAACTCCTCTCTTAAAATCAAAAAATCTTTGATCTTTTTGAATCAGAGCTTGGGCAGCCTTTTGATGATTGATAATTGAAGATGAATCAATATCTAGATTTTCCTCGATTTCTTTTCCTTTCTTATCCAAGACAATGGCCATCAAAGCTTCTAAATTCTCTTTTAATGATGCCATATTTCTTTCCATATTTTCCTTTAATGAAGCCATATTCATTTATATTGAAGTTAATCTGTCACCAAACCCTTGAGATAAAGCCTCTACTTTGGCATTGGAGACCATCTTGATAAAAGCAGTGACTTGAACAATTGCAGAAAATTTTGGGGCCAACAATAATTTCAGAAACTTTTTAGGGGCCAAACTATAATTTTAGAAGCTTTTGGGGCTAAAGTGGAATTTTTAAAACTTTTGGGTGAAACTTTAGGGATGTTTGTGTAATTTTAGAAATGGGTTGGGTCAGGAAGGGCTTGGATTGGATTGAAGTTAACTTGGTGGGCTAGTTATGTGTTGGGTTAAAATGAGCTCTTTTTTTTTTTTTTTTTTTTATCTATTTTGGGCTAATTCTTGATAATGGGCTCATTAAATCTGATTTGGGCTGGATGAAATGGATTTTTTTTTGGACTGGTTTCTTTTATGATTCTGGGCTAGGACAGTTGGGCTGAAATAAAATGGTCTTGGACTATTGGGTCAAGTTATTGCTTAAAGAAAAAGGTCAAGTTGGGTTAAACCAAATTTGTAGGAGTTTTGTAACCCTATTTTGACGAGTTACATCCGTAGCAGCCAGCCAGACCAGGACTCTGGTTGGTGAGGAAAGAGACGCCAACGACAAGGCAACTAGATAATGATGATGAAGGCGTCGACTACAATAATTGTTTTGGACGATGACAAAAAGACAAAGAACAGTGATGTTTCCAACAATGGCAACTAAAGGAGAACGAAGAGGATGATTGTAGCCTTTAGGCTAGACCTGGCTCGGATCTGGGATTTATTGTAGACTCAATGGATTCCCCCCCCCCCCCCGAGATTGCACTGATGTGCAATGGAGATTTTGACCATTATTATTATTTTTTAATATTCTCGGACAACACAAACAACTTGAAGAAATAAAAAAA